ATATTATAACATAAAAATTTTCTTTTTTTTTTTACTATTTCGTTTTTAATAACACATAAAAAAGTATAAAATATGTTAATTAAAAGAAAAAAACAGATAAAAACATTGAGGAATTTTAATAAAAAGCCATAAAAAAAAACTTAAAATTGTAAGTGTGAAAGAATGGAGTTAATAGACTTGGAATTAAAACTACAAGATCGTTATTTCTATAATCCAAAATCATCTAAAACTGAATTAGAATTATCATCATTATTAGTACCAAAATTTGAGGAATATGTTCATGCAGAAGAATTTCTTGGACATAGTGAAGTTGGAATGAATATTCAATTAGATGATTTAATTGCAATGGTTGGTGAAGAAGACTTTAAAGAAATGTTATTTGAAAAACCAGAAATTGTGATACCATCAATAGAATATGCTATGCATTACGTAGTCTTACATTCAGCTTCTGATCCATCAAAAATAATGGACTGTAGATGTATTGTTCGAGTCCAAATACCAAAACCAACATCTACAATTAAAGAACTAAAAGCATCGTCTATAGGTAAATTAATTTGTATTAAAGGTACTGTTATTAGGGCAAGTTCAATTAAACCTCATCTTGTGTCAATGGTGTTTTGTTGTAGTACTTGCAAAGCAAATAAAGAAGTAACTTTTAGAGATGGAAAATACACTGAACCAAAAAAATGTCATTTATGTGGATCATCAAGTTTTATTCCAATGAGAAATACTGTAAAAATAACTGAAACACAACGAATTAGAATTCAAGAAGTTGATGAAGGTGAAGGAAGAATTCCAAGAAGTATTGAAATTGAATTAGTTAATGAATTAGTTAACACGTGTGTACCTGGAGATACTGTTATTGTCTCTGGAATATTAAGAAGAAATGACTCAATTACAAAACAATTTAAAAGAAAAAATAAAGACCAAACAATTTATGAACCATATATTGCTGTTAATTACTTAGAAAATTGTCGTGCAGAGACTGGAGATAGAGACATAACAGAATTTTCTGAAAAAGATATGAAGTTTATTGAAATATTAAAAGAAAAAAATAATTTACTTAGACTACTTGTTCATTCATTGTGTCCACCAATCTATGGACATTATATAGTTAAAACAGCAATTGTGTTAGTATTATTTGGTGGAACAAGAAAACATGATATTGCAAAAATTCGGGCTGATTCTCATTTATTAATTGTTGGAGATCCTGGACTAGGTAAGTCTCAAATGCTGAGGGCAGTCGCAAACGTTGTTCCAAGAGGTGTTTATGTATCTGGATCTTCTACCACTAAAACAGGATTAACAGTAGCATTACACAGATATGCAGGAACATCAGATTTTACATTAGAAAGTGGTGCATTAGTACTGGGAGATCAAGGAGTTTGTTGTATTGATGAATTTGATAAAATGGAACGAACAGACTATTCATCACTACTGGAAGCTATGGAACAACAATCAATTTCTATTGCTAAAGCAGGTATTTGTTGTACACTTCCTGCAAGAACTTCAGTAATTGCTGCAGCAAATCCAGTTGAAGGTCATTTCAATTGTGGCAAAACAGTTTCAGAAAATATTAATATGCCTTCACCATTATTGTCTCGATTTGATTTGATTTTTGTTTTAGTCGATAACCCTGACGCTGAGGCAGACAAAGAATTATCTAACCATATTATTAAAATGCATTCTGGGAAAAATATTCAAAGGAAATATAGTCAACTATCAATTTCTCAAATCTCTTCAACTGGAACCACACAAGCCACAAATGGAAGAATTAGTCTTAGAGATTATTTAAGTGATCATAGTGTTGAGAGTTCAGACCCACTACCACCAAGACTATTTCGAAAATATCTTGCTTATGCAAGAGCTAATATTCATCCTCAACTAAACGAAGAAGCTAAGTTAGAACTACAACATTTTTATATTGAACTAAGACAGTCTTATAAAGAAGATGATGACACTCCAGTAACAACTCGTCAATTAGAAAGTTTAATTCGATTGACTGAGGCAAGAGCTAAAGCAGAATGTAGAGAAATTGCAACAAAGGATGACGCGTTGGATGTGATAGAAATATTTAAAATAGCAAGTTTAACTGGATTAGGTGGTATCTCAAATTCACCTGTTATTGATTTTAGAGCTATGGGAGGTGTTCGTGGAGGTAAATCAAAGATGCTCAAGAGTTTAATGCGTGTATTCCAAACAGAGGCAAAGAAAAAAAATAGCAATATATTAACCAAGAGTGAAATTCAACAAATTGCAAGTCAATTACATGTTCCAGATATGCAAGATCTTGTTGATCAATTAAATAATGAAGGGTTTTTATTAAAACAATCAGGGGGATATAAACTGGCAACAGGAATGTGACATGGCTTCAGAAAGAAAAATAAAAAGTAGATAGAAATTGATTGACAAATAAATACTCTATAATTGTAATTTTATAACGAAAGATTTATGTTAATTCATTTATTCATTTGTTAATGAATATCAGGCTTCCAACCAGTTTCTTTCAATCCAGGTATTTCTTCAATTTTTATTTTAGGAATTCCTTGTTTAAAACAGGTTAATCCTGGACGTATTTCAGATTTAGATACTTGTCCTATTAAAGACTGTAATGCATCTCGTTGTTTTTTGATTGTTGAGGGAACATCAGTATAATCTTCTACATTTTTATGAAGAACACATTCCATTAATGTAGCTTCAACATAATCTTTAATGTAACCTTGCCAACGTTCTTTATTTAATGTTACATGCTTATGAAAACCTTGTTTCATAAAATAACCAATAGCCTGATTGTCAGCATAAGTTAGTATATGATAAATTCCTCGACTTTGAATTTCTTTCTTTAAATGTTGCATTAGATATGAACCGAACCCTTGTACTTGTTGTGTAGAATCAACAGCACAGAAAACTATTTCAACAAACCCTTGAGTTGGAAATGGTCTAAAACAAATTCCACCAAAGGGCTTATTGTCTTTACAATTAATAAGTAACAACGATTCATGATATACAGTATCATAAACAATTCTACTAATATAATCCAATGCCATATTAGGTAAATGTCTTGAAACAATATTTTTCATTGCTGTTAATAATTCTAATTGTTCTCTTGTTCCTTTATTAGCAACAGTAATGAATTTAATTTCTCCTTTTTTTTCTTTTTCCCTTGGAATTGCTCCTCGAACTTTTGGTGCATCAGACATATTTTTGATTTCTGATATTTTTTAGTAATTTTTAAATTTGGATTTTAGATTTTTGTGAATGAAATAAATAAATATCTTAAAACAAGTTACCATCCTAATAAATTTATTACTGATGAATATGATAGAAAGAAGTTACTTTTCATTGTAATGATAATTATTTAGATAGTCACCACTCAATGTAATTAAAAACAACATAAAACTAAAAACGTTGTGTAATTCTTATTTCAATTTCTTAAATTAAGATTAAACCATTGATTTAAATATTGGTCCCATTTTCAAACTATTCATAATGTCATTAAATAACTTCTCAAATTGAACACTTACATTTGCCAATGGATGAGCAGAAACTTTAGCAATAAATCTGCAAACTGCTTTTGAAAGTTCTTGTTGTTTTGGTGGGTCAGCATCTTTATTTTTTTCATCTAATGAAGAGCTAATGAGCCTTCTCATCTCTGGAACAAAATCTTCAATATTTTCTACCATAGGATCAGGATTAAGAATAACCATCTTTGTTAACAAATTGAAACAGAGTAATCTAATATCATGATCATTGTCATTAACAATACCGTTTAATACTGTTGTTGCAATTTTCTTATAATCAAGATCATTTAAGAAATTATCAATCAATACATTCAAACAATCATAAACTGCCTTTCTAGCATCAAGACCATTATCTGAAATATGTTTACAATTACCGAATTTAGCAACAAGGATATAGGTTTGATCAACTGCAGTTTGTGCAATAACATTTTCCAAAATATTATTAAGGTATGGATAAATTTCTTTTTGTGCATGATTTAATAAATATGAAGTAACAGCAAATAATGCACATTTAATTGCTGGTGTTTTATCTCCTAATCTTGATGCAACTAAAGGAATTAATGGAACAAACAATTGAACATCACAATTATTCATACATGTCTTTTTAATTGACCCAATTAATGCAGCATTACCATTTTTATCTTTTAATGCTGGTACATAATATCTTGGTACATAAGTTGTAGCATCAACAGAAATTAATTTACCAAAACAATCAGATAATGGTAATAAAATCTTATCATCAGAGCCAAGTAAAATTAATTGTTTTAATACATCTTCAACTTCACTTTGGTCAACGTATTTGACAGCTTCTTTCATTGCATTCATTAAGAAGAAACTCTTCTTCTTTTGTAACTTTTCGAATAAAAATGGGATAATTCCTGGAAGAGATCCAAGTGCCATAGATGCAGCTTGTCTAACTGGATCACTATCAACTTCTAATAAATCAACAAGAATATCTTGAAGTGATTCTTTTTCAACTTCTCCATTAATAGCCATTTGTCCAATAGCATATAACAAAACAATTGAATTAAAGAATTCAACTGATTGACTAACATTAACTTTCAAATTTTTTACACTAGCCTTAACTTCTTTAAGAATAGTTGATACTTCAGGTTTAGTAGAGGCAAGCATTAAACCAGTTAAATACAAATTGACTTTAGAGTAAATAATATGATTTTCAATATTCATAATCATACTAGTAACTTTCTTTTTTTCTTTAGTTGCCAAAATAGCTGTTAGATTCATTAAACATGAACCCAAACTTTCACGTGCATTATTTCCTTTACTAATTTCTATTAATTTACGATATACGTTATTTAAAATTGTATTTACCAATTCTCCATTCTTAGCAAATAATGAAATAATATTAACAGATAATTCTACAATATTACTATCACTATCATAAACAAAACTAGCAATGATTGGAAGTGCTGATTCTATTGTTTTATTAGAAATTGAAGGACATGATTCTAAAATACTTTTACAAGCATTTAATGAACTAACTTTAACTTGTCTAGTTGCTTGTTGTGTTTGTTGGATAGTTTGAAGGAATAATTTATCTGCATTCTTTAATACACTTAAAATTTGATAATTAATTGTATTTCCAATTACAACCAATGCAGATGCTTTCAAAAAAGTATTTTCATATAACGAAATAAGTTCATTAAATGATTCTTTTAATGCATCAAAAGGTAATATAGAAATGAATTTTTTAATAATTGTTCCAATACAATAAATAGCTTGTTCTTTAACTTCATGGTCTTTGTCTGATTTAATTAAACCAATTAACGAATTAAGAATATTTACAACATTTAATTCATTTCCTTCTTCAATAGTATCTGTATTTTCTAATAATGAATTCTCAGTTTTAACTGCATCAATAGCAATTCTAAAATTCTTATTTTCAAATAATGAAATAAGGATTGGAGAAATAATAACATCTATTGAACTTGTTCCTTTCACTTTAAATAAATTTCTTAATGAATCACAAAGAGCAAATAATAATTCTACATGAGTTTTTGGTGTCTTAAGTAATTCAATAATAACGTTTTGTGTTATTCCAATTTCTTTAAGCAAAACAATTCCATCAAATACAGATAGTTCTGAAATAATCTTAAAACATTCAATCTTTGATTTCTCAACAAATTTCTTTCCATTCAAAATAATGTTTATTTGAGAAATAACAGTTGGAATAGTTTGTGTGATCTTTTCATGAACTACTTTATGACCGTTGTTAATTGTATTTATTGTTAATGAGTAAATACCTAAAATAATATCTAACACTATCTCAACACTTTCTTTCATTCTTTTAACAATAACTGAAAGTCCTTCTTCTATGAATCTATCAAATAAATCTTCTCGTTTGAGGATAACAGAATTAATGCAATCACCTGCTAATTTTCTTAATTTCCAAGTAACATCTTGTTCATCTTCAAAAATGTCTTCTTCCTCTTCTTCTTCTTCCATTGGTTCTCCATCTTCTTCATCAAATTCAAATCTATTAGGATCATATTGAATATACTCTAAAGCAACTCCTAAAATCTCATCAGCTACTTCACCAAGTTTACTTGGACAAGACAAAACAAAAACATTATAAGTATTTAAAATAGCTTCTTTCAAATCATCGTCGACATCTTCTTCAGCTCCAGTGAACTTTTCTTTTAAAACAATAAAAACATTATTAACAAATGGTCCAAATTTGTCTTTAATAATACCACAAATAGATGAAAACATAGTTACATATACTTTCATTTGTTCTTTAACAGTACATTTCTTTAAAGCAGTAAGAGAGTTATTAAGAATTAATTGTAATTGACTGTCATCAGCATATTTGGAGAGATGTGCAATACATTGAACTGTTCTTCTTCTATTTGCAAAAACACCTTTAGAAATATAAGGAAGAAGAGTTTGAATAACATGAGATATATCTAGTGTAGATCCATTTTTAGTAATAATAACATCTAATACATCCAAGTTATATCCAATAGATATATCAGTTAATTCTTTAAGACTAAAGAAATTAAGTAGTGGAATAGAAAAACTATCATTCAACAATAATTTAAATTCCTTATTAATGATAAAGATTTTTAAAGTTTGTTTAATAACTTCCACTGCAACATCTCTATGAATGTCCATTTTCTTAGCTGGGTCTAATAAAATAGTCTGTAATTTTTTTAACATTAACTTTACTGATGAAGCATATGTGATATGAGGAGCGAATGATGTCATACATTTAATAGCAATGTCTTTAACGTCATTAGTTTCATCAGTGAGTAATGTTAAAAGACCAGTGACAATATTGTTTTGTTGGTTTTGGTCAAATTTAAATCCTTTATTTTTATTTAAACTGTTATTAAAATCAGAAGTTGCCATATATCTTAGATCAGGATCAGGATTTCTCATCTTCTCTAATGTCATATTTAAATCAATGTTAAATTGCATTTTTCTTATTTATTTATTTTTCTCTGATTCATCCTTTTTAAGTTCTTTTTGACTGCCACGTCTTTCTTTCTTTAACTAGTTAAACCTCAAATTCAATATTACCTTATATTCCCATCTTCTAGTAACTTCTGTTGAGTTTATTTACAATTAAATTTTACTATAATTCAGTAATCTTAAAACTATATTTTTTTAATAGTTATATTAATAAGATCTTAAAAAAATATAAAAAAAAATTGAAAGAAGAATTGAAAATCAATGTAGAGATGAAATTTTATTTCATCATCTTATGACCTTTCCAATTTGCCCAATTAATCTTTTGTCTTGAAATTGGAAGTTGTCTTCTTAATGCTTTGAGACAATTATCACTTAATGTAGCAAAGATTTTATCAAGTTCTGCATGGAAAGTATCTTCAATGTTTTTAATTTCCTTAATAACATTTTGAGCAATTTGATCTTCAGAACCACCATTACAAGTAACTTTCTTTTTAGTATCAGTATGCATTTGAATATTGGCGTCTTCAAAGTAATGAACTTGAACTCTAATTCTTCCTTCACAAGTGACTTTACTTCCAACAGAAATAGTCCATTCTGATCTCCATTTGCCATTAGAGAATTGTGCGACTTTAAGATCAGCAGCAGAAATAATAATTGTGTATGTATTATTATCTTTTGGCATTACAATAGCAGCACCTTTTGGATAAAATTCTTTAGCATAATTATCTAATTTCTTTTGAAGGGCTTGTCTTAATGAATCATTACCTGGAAGTCCAGAAGAAAGTGGTTGACTTGATGTAATTTGTTTACTCAAGTGATCGAAAGTAACAACTTTCTTATTAACTGGATCAATGAATTCTTGAGCAGATTGTTCTGTGTATTTAGAAATAATTACTGGATTAGTTCCATCCATTACAACTGTTAATTGTTCAGTGTTGTAATCATGTAAACAAACTGGAAGACATTCTTGGAATATACTATCATCACCAACTACTTCCCTACAATCTTTAAGAACATTATTAAATTCTCCTGGTGGAGAATCTTTAAGGAATGTTGTAACGATCTTAGTTTTCTCGCTTTCTGAAGCCATCTTTGAATTTTGAGTTCAGTGAATAGTTGAACTCTAAAAATCTAAAATAATTTTTTCATATTTCTCTATTTTTATTTTTGTGTTATTTAAAAATAATGTTTTCTATTTAAATTGTTTATTTCTTATTTCATGTTTCAACACCACTTGAAACTCTTAAGAAATGAAATGAAAAAACGTAAAATTACTCATTACTATCATGAAATATCTGACCCTCATATGACAGAATTTACACACTCATTTTATCATCGATTAGAGTGGTTGTGTGGATTTAGTGGATTTACAGGTGAAATTGTTATAACTCAAAAACGAGCATGTTTATGGACTGATAGCATTTACTTTTTACAGGCACAAAAAGAAATTGCACAGGGATGGGAAGTATATGACATTGATAATATAGAAACTATTTCTCCATGTTTAATGATTAAACAAAATAAAAAGATTTCTTTAGGACTCAACCCTGAAATTACAAATTATATTTCACTAGAAGAACTGTTTGATGTTGAACTGAATATCATTCCAATTGATATTTTTAATATTATTAATCCTTTACCTTTTGTTTTATCTTCAATCCATCTTTTTAATGAAAGTTCAACATCTGTACTTCAAAAAATAGAAAGTATTAGAAAGAAATATCATAACAGTACTATTATCTTAACTAACCTTGCTGATGTTAATTGGACTTTCAATATTAGAGCACATGATATTCCTTATTCACCAATAGCATATGGGTATGGTGTTATTACCCCAACTCAAGTTCATCTTTTTGTAGGAAATAAAAAACAATCACAAGAATTAGAAGTACAATACCCATTTAATGAATTAAAGATTAAAGTTCATTCTTATCACTCATTTTTTGGATCTATTAAAAATTTAATAAAGACTCCTATCGTTGTTTATAATAAAGAGAATGTTAATATGAAACTACAAGATATCATTGATTCGATTCCAAATTTGAAAAGAAAAGAATCACTAAGATTTATTCAAGAATTAAGATCAATTAGAAGTTCAAAAGAAATTGAGATGATAAAACAAATTCATATCAATGATAGTATTATTCTTTGTTATTTCTTTAGTAAATTAAATCAATTAAAAGGGACTGATATCACAGAATGGGATGCAAGTATATTATTAGAAAAATTAAGAAAAGAACTTGAAGAAAAATATGATGAACCAAGTTTCCTTTCTATTATTGCTACTGGAAAGAATGGAGCAATGATGCATTATGAACCAACAGAACAAAAAAATGAGTTAATTAATTGGGATAAAACACTGTTATGTGATGTTGGAGCACAATATAAAAGTGGATGCACAACTGATGTTACAAGAACTCTTCATTTTGGAACACCAACACAAAAAGAAAGACTATGCTATACTAGAGTACTTCAAGGACATATAGATGCACAGATGACAAAAATTCTTCAAGATGAAAGTATTGATAAAATTGATAAAGTAGCAAGAAAACCTATTATAAATGAAAATGAAGAATGGGACTTTAAACATGACATTGGTCATGGAGTTGGTCATTATTCTTTTGTTCATGAATATCCACCAATGTATGGAGTTGGTTTAAAAATAAAAGAAGGAATGACAACAAGTATTGAACCAGGTATTTATCTTGAGAAAGAATTTGGAATTAGAATAGAAAACGTTATTGTTTTTGAAAATACCCATAATTCATCATTTAAGTTAACACCATTAACATTAGTCCCATATTGTTCTTGTTTAATTGATTATACTCTACTAACAAGTGAAGAGAAAAATTGGTTGAAAGAGTATTACCAAAATATTAGAGATATTATTGTTCCGCTTATAAAAGATACTTCTGTAATTCACTGGGTTGAATCTAATTTAGTAGTTGAATAGATTATTTGTGTCATTCTTTTTATTTTATTTTTTTGATGTTAAGGCATAACAATGATGAATATTTAAATGATGTCTCATTAATGATGGATAATTTTATTCGTTTTTAAGTTTTTTTGTAATTATTTTTAATTAATTTAAAAATTTAGACTCAAAAGAAAGTTCATATTGATTAAGTAAGAAAGTTATGTTCTGTATTTTATAAGAGCATTATGAAGTGATGTTTATTTGAACATCTCTGAAATGAAATCAGAAATACAAAAATAAAATTATACAATGCAAGTAAGTGTTGTTGATCAAATTATTGAACCATTCCAATTAATTACTGAACACAAGCAAAACCAATTTATCAACAACAAAAATCTAACCTTCAAAAGAGTTACTGTTTTATCCACTCAAAATAAAACTGATAAGTTACAACTTCCAAAAGAAGAATATTATAAGCCAAAACAACAAAATATTAAACTACAACAAATGACTGAAGAATCAGTTAGTAAAATCAATAAACTGTTCTATATTCAAAAGATTAATAGAGTCAAAGAATGGATATTATCTAAACACCCCTCAGCCTTGTATCCAGAACCATATTTATTACAATAAATGAATGTTATTTTAAAAATAAAACTTAATTAAAAGCAATTTTTTTAAATTAATTCAATAGAGTCTTTGCATCATCTTCACTAATTTGGAATAATTCAGCAAAATATTCTGGAGTAAGGTCATTGTAATAATCTCTATATTTCTTAATATAAGCTTTAGCTGCAAATGTTTTAATAATATTTTTGATATCTGAATAATCTAATTTCAGAGTAGTTTGATTATCAATTATGTCAATACGTTCAAAAGCAGAAACCCAATCTCCTTCGAGAATAGCTCTATGAATTGCACAGGCATGTCCACTAATATTTTGTGCTGGAACAATAAAAGCAGCAGATTTATTTTCAATTAATTTTTTGAATGCAGTGATATTCATTGGAGAATCTCCTTCTTCAGAAACAATTGCTGAGAAATAAAAGGCTGCAGTTAATGCATTAATGTCAATGAACATATGTGGTGGAATTGATCTTGTTTCTGATTTCATATTAGCTTGACCAAGAATAACTTGAACATGATTTGTTTGAATTAAATCATGAAGTAATTTATAAACCAATCGATATTCTTTTGCCTTAAAAGCAGAAAGAGCAGTAAGAGCAACAGCTCTATTATGTAAAATTTGGAATGGAATATTACTATTAATTAATGTTGCTGGAATTGAAACTAATAATGAAGCACCACTATAATCTCCATTTAAAGCAAGATAAGAGACATGACAAAGGAATGCAATTTGTTTTGATTCTTCATCTTTAGACTCGGTAAAGATAACTGTAGCAAGTGCAGTTACTAAATTTTTAAGGGTTATTGGTTGGTTGTCATAAAGGAAAGATGTTTCATTTGGGAAACAATGAATAGCCTTAAGAATAGATAAGGCTAAATCAATGAAGATATCAATAAAATCATTTGCAAGTGCATTACCACTTTTAGCAATATTCTTTAATTGAGCTAATACAACTAATGAAATATTTGAAAATTTAACAATTTCTTGCATTTTATTAGAATACATTTCTGTTGATGGAATAAACTCTTTCAATGAATGAATTTCATCTTCAATAATTCTACTTAAAGAAAGACTGATTCTATTACTAATTGACTTATCATTTAATAAAGCAATAACCTCATTATTTTTGAGATATTCAAGAATTCTTTCGGATGTTTTAAGAAGAGTATCAAGAAATTCACTATCCATTCCAATTCCAGGTCTTTTATTTCTTCCATAATTAGTAATAGAAACAGATAAAATATCAGATGCAATCTTGAATTTTAATGTTTGTGCATTGGCGTTTTCTTCTAACCAAATTAAGTACAACGGTAATTCATCTCTATCTTTTTGTTTTGTTTTATCAATAACTTCAACATGTTTCTTTTCAATTGCCTCATCCCCTTGAATAGATTTATCAAATAATTCAACTTGAACTCGTTCTTTCTTAACTTCAACCTTCTCTTTAGTTTCTGTAGTACCAGAAGCTTTTTTAATTTCATCATTACCATAATAAAGTCCTCTACTGATAACTGTTTGTAAGCCACCATGAGACTCAATCCAATCTTTTCGTAACCATTTCCAAAAATTACTTGTTGCAGTTTGTGTCACATCTATATTTTGTGCTGGTGCAATTTCAGCAACAACTGGATTCCATTCTTCATCTTCTTCATCTCCAAAGAGGACTTCTTCTCCATTTTCATCATAAACATGAATCTCATATTCTTCAACACTGTCTTCTTCCTCTTCTTCCTCTTCTTCTTCTTCTTCCTCCTCTTCTTCAACCTCCTCACCTTCATCAATTTCTTCTTCTTCAATCTCCTCATCGAATTCTTCTTCCTCTTCTTCTTGTAATTTCTTGTTGCTGTTTTTACGTGACATCTTTTGATTAATTTAATTTAAAAAAAGGGTTTTTTATTCAGAATTAAAAAGAAATAATAATTATAATATTTTTCTGTTTATTTGAGATTGTTCAAAATTATTTTCATATTCCTTTTCAAGTGTCTTTTTTTCATTATTTCATATTAAAAACCTACAACATTACACTGGAAGAGAGTAATAATTTTTTTTTTAACAGAACAAAATTGTGGAAGTATTTTAGTTAATTATATGCCTGAATTAAGACACACATTATTTGGTTTTTACATTGGCTATTAACAGGTTCAAGTTGTGATATGAAGTTTTTTTAAAGTAAATAAAATGAAAAATAAATTATAAATATAGTAAAATAAATTAAAAAAGAATAGAATCAAAATTTATGCGTTTGGATTTTCATAGATCAAGTTCTCTTTTCATTTTCATTTCAAAGAAAGAGAAGCCATGGTTGATTTATTAAAAGAAGGAACAAAACACCTTAGTGGACTTGAAGAGGCTGTGTTAAAGAACGTAGAAGCAGTCAGATCTCTTTCACAAATAACAAAAACAACATTTGGACCTCAAGGAATGAAGAAGTTAATTGTTAACAATAAAGGAAAACAATACGTTACTTCAGATGCAGCTAAGATCATTACTGAACTTGAGTTCCAACACCCTGCTGCTAATATGGTTATTAATGCAGCAAAACAACAACAAGCAGAAATTGGAGATTTTACAAATTTAGTTATTATGTTTGCTGGTGAATTAATGACTCAAGCTGAAGGATTATTAAGAATGGGACTTCATCCAACAATTATTGCAGATGGATATCGAACTGGTTTAAAATTCTTTAATGATCATTGTGAAGATCTTGTGTTATCTACACTTGCAGGTGATGCATCTGTTTCATTAGTAGAAAAATATTTAAGACCAGTTATTGGAGCAAAAGTACCTGGATATAGTGAATTTTTTACACACTTAGTTGTTGAGGCTTGTCATCGTACTCTTCATGGGTATGAATTTAATGTAGATAATGTAAGAGTTACAAAAATTCTTGGAGGATCAGTTGATGAAAGTGAAATTATTAATGGGTTTGTATTACAAACAACACCATCTGGAAGTATCTTAGAAGTTCAAGATGCTAAAGTAGCAATTTATGTACAAGGGTTTGAGTTACCAAAAACTGAAACTAAAGGAACAGTTTTATTAAAGGATGCTGAACAATTTAAGAATTTTAGTAAAGGAGAAGAAGAAATGCTTAAAGAATTAGTAAATAAACTTAAAGAACAAGGAGTTAAAGCAGTAATTTGTGGTGGAAATGTTCAAGATTTAGCATTACATTATTGTGATAGAGCAGGTATTATTATTGTTCGTGTAGGATCAACATTTGATTTAAAAAGATTATGTCGTGTTACTGGAGCTACTCCATTTATTAGTTTAACAACAGAATGTGATTCAGGTAATTTTGGTATGTGTGAAAAAATTTATGTACAAGAAATTGGTAGTACTAAATGTACTGTTTTTGAACGTAAAGAATCAGCTGCTGTAACTACAATAGTTGTCCGTGGATCAACACAAAATATTTTAGATGACATTGAACAAGCTATTGATGATTGTGTCTGTGAATTTAAAATTATTGAAGGACATAAAAAATTTGTTGGGGGAGCTGGTGCATTTGAAATTGAAATGTCAAAAAAGATTAGTGAAGTAGGAGATAAGTGTGATGGACTAAAACAATATTCTATTAAGAAATATGCAGAAGCATTCCAAATGGTTCCAAGAGTTTTAGCTGAAAATGCAGGACTTGATGCAACTGAAGTTCTTTCTGAATTATTTGTTGCACATCAAAATGATATTTCAATGGGAGTTAATGTTGATTCAAATACTCAATTACTTAATACTAAACAAGAAATGGTATTTGATAATTTAGAAGCAAAAAAGAATGCTATTAAATTAGCAACTAATATTGCAACTACTATTCTTCTTGTTGATCAAATAGTAATGCAAAAACCTGCAGGAGGCCCAAAGATTCCACAACAAAGAATGCAAGGACCAATGGATCAGAATGATGCTGGATTTTAATTTGATTTTCTTATGGTTCATTTTAATGGTTTTTTTATTGTTATTGAATAATTAATTGAACAAGATTTCTGTTTTTATTAGAGATAGGACTTAAAAAGTCCATTTGGCTTAACAGTAATGGCTTCACTTGGAAAAGGATTTGAAGACCAATTCAAACACCACTTTGTTAAGAATACTAAACCTGGAGTACCTAGAATATGGGTTGATGGTTGCTTTGATATGTTTCACTGGGGACATGCCAATGTCATAAGACAAGCTGCTGCTGCATTTGATTATAAGTGTTGTTTGTGTGTTGGGCTTCATAGTGATAAAACTATCACAACACAAAAAGCTAAGCCTGTGATGAATGAAGAAGAAAGAACTGCTGCAGTATTAGCATGTGAATGGGTTGATGAAGTAGTAGATGGAATTGTTTGGTGGTGTACTCCATATAATTTTGTTAAATCATTTAATATTGATTATGTAGTACATGGAGATGACATTGTTTGTGATGCAGTTACTGGAAAGAATTGTTATTGGGAAATTCAAGAACATGGAATGCTTAAGTTAGTTCCAAGAACTGAAGGAGTTTCTACAACTGATCTAATTTACAGAATGCTTAATCCAACTTCACAAGACCATTGGACTGGATATAGACATTCAATCCTTTCTATTGATAAGATAAGATTATTTAGTGAACAAAAGAGGTCACCAAAAAAAGGTGATACAATTGTATATCTTGATGGTGTTTTTGATTTACTTCATATTGGGCATTATAAATTATTAAAACATGCAAAAGAAATAGGAAGTTATGTTATTGTTGGAGTTTATGATGATGTAATTGCTAACAAGAAGTTAGGAATTAATTATCCAATTTGTAATATTGGTGAAAGAGTTATGAGTTTGTTAGCATGTGGTTATGTCGACAATGTTGTTATTGGAGCTCCAGAAGGAATTACGAAAGAGATGATTGAAAAGATGCATATCAATAAAGTGTTACATGGTAAACATGAGTATAATGAATTATTATATAAAGATGCCATTGAAATGAATATAATGGATGTTTATAACTCCGATTCTACTGTTACAGCATTAGATATCATAAATAGAATTAAAGCTATGCATGATACTTATGAAGAGAGAAATAGTAAGAAACAACGATAAACAAGAAATCGAAATCTAATTTTTTTAATTTTTTTTTTGTTTTTTTTTTTAAAAATATTACAATCAAAAAAGAAGATATACCACTCAAATGAATTGTAAATATTTTGACAGAAAGAGAATAACAGAATTAAATGTCTAATCAGTAGTTAAAATGAAAGTCAAACTCAAATAAATGTTTAAATTGTTTTAGTTCAGAAGAACTATAAAATTAAATTTTTTATGAATCTAGAGATACAGAACGAAATAAGTGTTACAAAACAAATATCTAACTTTCTTTATACCCTTCAAACAAAGGGAATTGTTGCAACAAAAAATTCAGTTAATTTATTTCTTAAAGAAAATAAATTACCACTATCAGTAAATTTTGGAAGTACTGGGTTTTATTATGAAAGAAGAGTTGTTCCATTAATTAAACAAGAAAGAGAATACGATTGTTCTATAAAGAGACAGGAAATATTAAATCAAATTAAAATAACTCCAAAAGAATGTATTTTTTCATTAGAAGAATATGGATATCAGAATTATCGAGATAAAAAAATGTATGTTATCACTAGAAGATCTCTTATTCAGTATAGTGAAAGATTTGAATTAGGTAGAGAATCTAAATTGTCTAATAAAGTAATGATTATAGGATTAGATGGATTTAAGTTTGAAATATTTCATGTTAAAGGAGAGTATTATACATTTGATCAAATGAAAGAATGGTTTATTAAGAAAGTAATACCACAAATAATTAATAGAAAAATGAAGTTTCAAGGAAAAAGATTTATTTTATTAGATGAATATTTTCAAGAAGGTTTCAATAATATGAAAGAACTTAAGAATTGTAATATTGAATTAATCTTTTTAAATCACTCTGAAACCAAGAAATTAAATCCTTTAACTCTTGCACTTAATGATTATGAATTAGATTATTCAGAGTTAAAAGAAGAAGTATTAGATATGATATGTACTAAATGTGGGTTATTCGAAAGTAATTTTATAAGAAGTTTATCTAAAACAAATGATAATCAAAGAGTTGAGGATAAAGAAAAAACCTGTAAAAGATTTAATAATGAATTAAGAAGTGTTAATATAAATAAAAAAATAAATAGTGTAGATACTAAAACAAATATGAAAAAAGATTTCAATGATAATTTTTTATTAATTCAAAGAATAATAAAAGAAGAAAATACATTTTCAGATATTAGTAGTTGGTCAGAAAATGATGATAGTATCATTGAAATCCCAGCACTAACTAAGATAAAAAGAAGAAAAGAAATTGAGTACATTTTAGATGAAGATTTTTATGAAGATAGTTCATTAAAGGAATTAGTTGATGAGAATGAGATTTATAGTGAAGAGTCTGATTTATTTATTAAGAAGAAAGAAGATATTACCAAAAAGTTTTATTTGCAACTTACAAAAGAGCAAAAAAAAATTTATCATTGGTATGTTAAACGATATTCTGAGAAAGAGTCAATGGTTTTAAAATTATTAGAGAGAAATATTCAACAAGAAATTAAAAAAGAAACTCAAAGAAAAGAATTTAAAATAATAAATAATGCATTTGAACAATTTATATTTCTTTATCTAAGACATCCTTATGATATAGAAGAAATAGATAAAATTTTTCATAATAGATTTATAGTACTTGAAGATTCTTTAATTTTTATATCAAAAGAAAAACTCAATCAATTTATTTTTCAATTACAAAATACTGAAAGAATTTATGGATTTCTTAGTGTTAATCAAATACATTCAATAGCACAAAAAAATGGAATAAATTTTAATTATAATTTAGTTAATGAATTTAATGTGTTTGGATGGAGAGAAATTGTAGATCCAAACATAATATTCTATCATGACCTTAATGGTTATAACATTGAAAAAATAGGAGATGAGTATAAAAAAAGTTTTATTGAAAAATGTAAAGGAGTACCAAAATCATTCATTTTTTGTATTGGTAATTTTGGTGGAATACTTGATTTGTATAAACCTCCTAGATTAGTTGTTAATAAATCACTTCATTTAGAAGATTTTGTTAATGATTTAAAAGAACATCCAACACATATGGAAAGACAATACCCTGTTTTATTTCATGAAGGTATGTTATTATCGAATGTAATAGGATGTATATGCGCTGATGGAACAAGTATTAATCCTTTATTAGTTTGTTCAAATCAAAACCAAGAAGAAGACTATTCAGAGAAAGAGAATGAACATATTTTTATAGGAACAACATATAACATGTATTGTGATATAAATAACTTTAAAGAATGGTTCAGAGAGATTGTTATTAAAGAAATTAATAAAAAGAAAAATACAAATAAATATTCTTCAAAAATAATATTTATTGCAAATGAACATCTCAAAGAATATTTTGAAGATAAAGAAATTAAATTATATATTAATATGGAAAAAATTGAAATAATTTATAATAAACAAGAAATTAATTATTATTGGAATCCAATTGATACTTTTATTCATTTAATGGTAAATGATGCATTTGAAAGAAGAATAAATCAAAGAATTATTGGGACAATTTCAGATTATCGTAAAACTAAAATGTCATGGATTATTAAAGCAAATCTAAATTCAAATATTATTCATAAAAGTTTTCAATCAATTGGATTAAAAAATAATTTAGATAAAGATAAATTAGAATTTATGTCTAAAGAAGAACAAATTGAATTTAATAAATTAAAAGAAAAAGAGCTTCATCAACCTATTCAAATTCAATTAAGAAAACAAAAATTTTCTTTTGAAATAAAATATACAAAACCATTATATAGAACAATATTAAGTTGTATATTAAAACATATTGAATGGAATATGTTAGATAATAAATATGACCTTTATGACTATTTTCTAAATAACTATCCTTTCTTTAAAAACACTAACTTTGATCAATTTCTTGAATATCAAAAACCAAAACAACTTTCTTATGAACAAATTAATCAATTTATGAATAAAAGTAAATGGGATGAAATTGATACTGAAGAAGATACAATTGAAATATATGAACCATCACCAAATTTGAGAATTCAACAAATTTGTGAATTAGATGTTGATGATATTTAATAAATAACAAAAAATAAAAATAAATACTTAAATAAAATTGTTATGTTAAAATTCTTAAAATAATCTATTTTTGATGATTTTGAGATGGCGTTTTAAAATTTTTTAATTAAAGAAATGAACGAACAAAGTAATACCTCTTTATCAGACCTTCCATTATTAACTATTCCAGTTATTTTATCTACTCCTTTTGGTGATTCTTTTGTTTCTAATAAACTTGAAATAAATAATTTATTTGTTGGGATGTATATTATTGAATTTGATAATGTTAGTGGAGAAAAAATAGCTTATAAACAATTAACACATCCAATGAACAGTGCAGTAGAAAAAGAATTAATTGGGATGATGATGGGAGCAGATTATTATGGATATGCACCAGTTACACTATTATTAAATACTATCACTAATTATCATGTGATCAGTATTCATTTTACTTGTTACAATCCATCAAATAAAAGAGGATTTGTTACTACATGTTGTATTGCTATTATACAAACTATACCATTCACTTCTTCTCAAGTTAATTTACTTACAGAACGGCTTACTCAATTATCATCAAAACTTCAGTCAATAGCTTTAAAACTTCATAACACATCAATTTCTTATTCATCTATTTTATCTCTTGAAGAGCTTATAGACTCAACTGACCCTACACCTTCTTTATTTAAAAGAGTAGTATCAGGATTTTCCTATAATTTATTATCAACACATTTTTATTATTCAGTATTAACTGACTTTATTAATTTAACCCATCCATCTCATATTATTGCATCAGGTGGTCATTCTTTATTCAATTGGTCATTTGTCACATCTAAAACATTACCATTTCATAATTATAAAAGTACTATTTCATCACTACAAAAACCATTAACAAAATCAGGATCTATTGATTCAAATATATCAGAACATAGTATTTCTGAAAATTCTCTAAATCCACCTTTCCCTCCATGTTCTTTTTTAGGAAATACTCCAGAACCAAATGACTTTGATTATCAAAAATTAGTTAATAATTACTCGTCTTGTTTCCCAAACATTTTATTTTCTTTATTATCAGGTCTTCAATGCATTGTTTATTCAAGTGAAAAATATGACATTTCCAAATTAATTGCTATTGCTAAATTTTTCTCTTCATTATGCATTGGTGGTGTTTCATCACAAACATCTCCAAATATACAAATTGTTGATAGACAAGAAGCTTTACTTCCTTTACAACTTCGGTTTATTCAAATATTTGTTATTTGTGAACCTACACTTTCATTAGAATCACCATTACATAATTTATGTTATCTTGATGTCTCAAAAGGATTTCATGGATTAAAATATGGTGATGATATGAAGAATTCTTTATTAGATTCTTTTGTTAAATATGCCCTTAATAAAAAAAGGTTTCTTGCTCAAAAAATGTGGAATGTAATGGTGGAATATAGTCAACTTACTATGAGATGTTTTATTTATCCAGAACTTCATCAAAAAATTATGAATACATCTGAAAGATTCATCATAGCTGTTTGTTTT